ACGTAAGGTTATAGTCTTTGAAGGTATAGCAGCATTAGCTACTAATAATATGCACTTTGATAAAGCGCCTAACCGTATGTCAACGGGCTCGCCGTAAGTGAATGCCTCAGAAAAAATTCCCAGGTTATGTGAGATGAGATAAGAATAGTATCTCCAGTCAACCACCTTATAGTTATAGATTTTTCGTTTAGCCGGCTCAGTTTTATGCACTAGATTGTTGAAAACTAATTTGACAACTGAATGATCACATTTATGACACAACGGGGATTCAACGTCAGCTAGGTGCAACATGTTTAACCGATCCACAATCACAAGGTCTAAGCATGCTCCGGATACTGGACGCGTAGGCTTTGTGACTATTTGATAGAGATTCAAAGCATCCACGGACATCCTTGGGCAGAACGTCCATCACGGTCCCTGTTTCCTACAGCACTATCATTTAACGGGCTGTCCACCATCATGGTCATTTGAGATATTAACTGTACACATATTTCTGTATTCTATGTTTCTGTAAGGTCAATAAATTGATGCATCCTTTATCTTGTTCAATTTGTCGTTGCTTCAAACAATTATCTTTTGCCATCGTTTATTCATTTCTATTTGTATTCAATTCACTTGATGTTTACTCAATTTATTAGTAAGTTGTTGTTCTTCATCAACATACTTTTTGCAATTCCAGTTCAGGTAGTTTTTTATATTCTATGATTGAAGTATTAAGCCTGAAACAGGCCTGTGTGCATTTCGTTTTTGCATATTCTAATTCCAGATAGTTCTTTGGGCAGCTTACCATCATTACGCCAACCTTATAAACAACGTCGGCATAATAAATCACCTTCTTAAATTTCATCTTACTCAAACGTTTCCATTTCGAATATCGTTGCTTCATATCTTAGGTATCTTCTCCATCAGGAGAGGATACACTTTAGCTTACTCGACTTTCGCTTGCAAGGACAAAAACTTATCGAGCTATAGTTTCAGAATAAGAAACCATTGAACAGGTGTTAAATTGGGTAATCACTCCTTCTTCTTACAACAGAGTGAAACTAATGATAAATTCGAAATACCATGAAGACTTTCTGGAAAAAAGATGCATTTTCTAAGTAATGGAGAGAAAAAATAATTACGGATTTTTCCACAGTTTCAAGCTCATGTTTATCTGTCACTAAACATGGGCCAGAGACGCTGCTTTCACGGAATAAACTAGGGCCTTTATGGACTAATATAATGTATAGAGGAATTGGGAGAAAACTCAAGTCTGCCAAAAAATGACTTTCTGAAGAATGAAAGACACAAAACAAAGACTTTTCTGAAATCCCACTAGCTACGCCCCCGTGCTATCATTCCGCCCAGGAACAAGCTACAACTCTGGAAGTTCCATAATTATTCTGCATCTAAGTGTGTTTGGCTTTATAGTGACTTCGATAGATCAGTTGATGCTCTATAAAGGGGAAAAAATTTCAAAACACTGGCGTAAAATTCAGTTTCAAATATAATTTTAAAAACTCAGCGTCTAAAATTTTCAAGTTTTTTAATTTTTCAAAACCTAGTTCAAGTTTCAATTGAAGTTTTTTTAGGTAAAAAGAGCATGCGAAACTGCATCGAATGATGTAATTTGAGGTTTAGCGATGTCTTTAATAAGCAGAATACTAAGAGAAGTTTTCTAGAAATCTCTTTTCGCACTATTTAAAATCTTTTTCATCGTCTTTAAACTAATCTGCTTATTAAAGACATCGCTAAACCTCAAATTACATCATTCGATGCAGTTTCGCATGCTCTTTTTACCTAAAAGAACTTCAATTGAAACTTGAACTAGGTTTTGAAAAATTAAAAAACTTGAAAATTTTAGACGCTGAGTTTTTAAAATTATATTTGAAACTGAATTTTACGCCAGTGTTTTGAAATTTTTTCCCCTTTATAGAGCATCAACTGATCTGTCGAAGTCACTATAAAGACAGACACACTTAGATGCAGAATAATCGCAAAAGTATAAAAAACTTTAAGTGATTTTAAATAATGAAGAAACATATCTCAAGAAACTCATGTGCATACCGTAAGAAAGTCATGCATTATCGATTTTCCACGCATAGCTCTAGGTTCGTTTTTTAGACCTGATTACACCATATTTTACTCAGATTTTTCTTCGAGAATATGATGCAATCAGTTTTTAATAAATCAGCGGCATCATTTTGGTTAATGAAACAAATTCGAGTTTTATTTTTTTATACCAGTTACATGAAAATTGAAACTGATTAAAAGAACAACAAGATCATTATCTTAGAACACTGCGACTGACAAATATCTTATAAAATAAAAAATGAAAATGAAAACCTAAACATATTGTTTTAAATGAAACCTTATTTTGCATTATTAAATATTTTCTGTTTCCTTAATTGTTACTAACACTATAGTCATTCTTCAGTTGCATCTTCATGTTGTTGATATTCTGATATGAGTGAACTCATATCAGATTCGCACTGTGTAAATTCCATTTCTCCCATACCTGCACCTGTATACCAATGTAAAAAGGCTCTACGCCGAAACATAGGTTTAAATTGTTCTAATATACTTTTAAATAATTCTTGAATGGCAGTTGAATTACCTAGAAATAGCAAGATAAAAATGATAGACACATACATTCTAAAAAAAAACTTTCGAACAGTTAAACAAGTTGCAGTTAAGGATAACACACACTAGCTCATACTCTTAAGAACATCGAAGACGAGATTGCCCGTCCATGATATGCGCAAACTTTACTTGTAAAAAACTGTGGAAATATTCAGTAGTGTTTTTCATCTTTCTACAAAACGTTCAGATACGCGAAGAGTCTAGGCATGTTTAACAACACAGTAAATTGTCAGGCATTGTACCATAAAAAGTGATGAAATCCCCTCACAACAATTTTAGTTTTCACTTGAAAACTGTAAAAGTTTTTAGACACTATCATCTTTTGATACAATTTATATCACACACACATGTTCGCAAAGTTCAGTTTCAACAGATCAAATTATTTTTTAAAGGCGTGGCTGTGATGTGTAGCTTTTCAACTCTGCTGGTTCCTCACCCTTAAATCGAAAAAAATCTCTTCACTTACCAATCAATGTTGCTGACATTTGAAAGCCTTTAAAAAAGAAAAAAGAAGAATTAAGAATAAGTAGTTCTAATTACTTTTTTTCTCAAAAATAACACCTTACCTGTGTGTTCTGTATTAAATACAGCTGTCTTAACATTATCTGGTATCCATTCAACAAAATACGATGATTTTCTATTTTTTACATCTAACATTTGTTCATCAACTTCTTTCGTTGACATCGGACCACGAAATATAGCTGTTGCAGCTAAATAAAGACCATGACGTGGATCACATGCAGCCATCATATTGTTTTCATCAAACATTCCTTGTGTCAATTCTGATACAGTTAATGCACGATACTGTCGACTTTCACGTGATATTACTGGTGCAAAACCTGGCATAAAGAAGTGTAGATGTGGAAATGGAACCATATTGATAGCTAATTTACGTAGACCAGTATTTAATTGACCTATATAGAAGACAGAAGAAGAGTATGACAAGTTATTGAGGAAGAATATCAGGTACAGCGGAAGTGAAAATCGAATGTATTTACAGTGAATATGACACAAATTTCAATTTCAAATTAAATAAAAGATCATCTGTTGGCTAGGAATATATTTGGATTCTTTATTGCGAAACGAAAAAAGCAGTGTGTCTAACCAAGTTCTTTGGATTTTGTTCAACAGTTAAACTTCTTTCCCTAGATGAATGAGTTGCTTTAAAACTTTCTATTAAACAGTCAAACAAAAAGATTCTTTGACTTACCTGGAAATCTGAGACATGTTGTTACACCATTCATTGTTGTTGATACCAAGTGATTTAAATCGGCATATATTGGTGTTGTTATGTTCAATGCACGAAAACAGATATCATACAATGCTTCATTATCAAATAAAAACGTTTCATCTGTATTTTCAACTAATTGAAGGACAGAGAATGTTGCATTGTATGGTTCAACTACATTATAAATAAATTTTGGTGATGGTACAACCGAAAATATCATAATCATACGATCTGAATATTCTTCACGTAGTTTACTGATTAATAAAGTCCCCATTCCTCCTCCAGTGCCTAAACACAAAAGAAACAACTGCTTCATTCTTCTGTGCAAAAAATACTACAAAGTCTGCTTTTTAAACTTAACATACCTCCTCCAAGTGAATGTGTCAACTGAAAACCTTGTAGACAATTACATGATTCAGCTCAATTCGTACAATATCCAATACATGATCTGTTAAATCAGCACCTTCCGTATAGCGTCCATTAGCCCAATTATACCTAATGTTATATTTACCAGTAATAGAAAATAAAAAATTAAGAAAAATAAAAAAGAATGCACCGTCAAAGATAAAGAAATACATACCGACAACTATTTTATCATGTTGAAATAATTGACCAAATGGTGCATTTTGTATCATATCCGACATATTCGGATCCAAATCATACGTGGAACATATTAACCTGGGAATTTTTTCTGAGGCATTCACTTACGGCGAGCCCGTTGACATACGGTTAGGCGCTTTATCAAAGTGCATATTATTAGTAGCTAATGCTGCTATACCTTCAAAGACTATAACCTTACGTCAGCGTGACAAACCATGGTTCACGGAAAAACTCAGAGCTTTGTACAAGAAACGCAATAGACTATATCTTAAACGCTCTCAATCTTCTCAACATCTAATCCTTTACCGATTAGCAGCAGCGGACTTTTCTAAAACCTGTGAGCGAGAAAGACAAAATTACCTTAAGAGCATAAACAATATTCAAACCGATTCTCGTGGTTGGTGGAAACTACTTAAGGCGTCATTGGGTAGAAGAAGCAGCTCCGCCATCCCTAGTCTGAGAAATGACAAAAATAAATGGATTCACGATAATGTTGGCAAAGCCGAGCTATTGAATGCATACTTTTCATCTGTTTGCACTATGTCGCCACATGAATATTTCTCTCCTTGCGATTATTCCCTGCGTTCCTCGCCCAATTCTATCAACAAAATTCTAGTCTCTGTCTGCGAAATCGAAAAAATTATTAAAGGTATTAGTATTTCTAAAGCTAGTAGTGGGCAAATTTCGTCAAGAATGATGCGGGAAGGAGGACACATCCTGAGTGAATCCCTTAGAAGCATTACTCAGCAATCAATTGATCAAGGAATTTTTCCTAGTAGCCTAAAAGTAGGCCAAGTTACAGCACTTTTCAAATCTAAGGAGCATTACTTACCTTGCAACTATCGTCCCATTACGCTTCTACCAATTTTCTCTAAAGTGATCGAACGAGTCGTCTTCAAAGCTTTATATGGTCACCTGATTAAAAATAATCTTTTAAATATTTTTCAATCTGGCTTTCGTCGTGCCCACAGTACAATTACTCAACTAATTGAAGTAATACACACTATTCATGTAGATATCGAAGAAGG